ATTGTTGTTGGGGGCAATATGCTGACTCTGTAAACCGCTTAGAGAAGGCTGAAAGCCCTATGAAGCGGTATATAAGTCTAACTGCTATTGCTATTTCTATTGGATGACTGAGAATCTCCATAGACGTTCCGACGTGCTACTTTTCTTCATTCAGAGAAAACAGTTATTCTATGTTTTAGTGCAGAGAAGCATTCCAACTCTTTGATGTGCCTCAGATCATACGAGATAGCCATTTGTTCTGGTAAACTATTTCACAGATTAAGCAATATTGATGTGCAGTACAGCCTGCTTAGGATCCTAACCCTAACCTCCCCCAAAGCACTAAAACTCACCCAGTCTTCTGGGATGATGCATCTGAAGTAAACCCGCTCTGCCCAAACAGCCTGGAGAAGCAGAAATGATCAGAGACAAGCAGTTCCCCAAGTAAAATAGAATAGGAACAGGAATGGGAAAAGCAAATAGATTAGAATTAGAATAGAATATAGAAAAGAATACAGAATAGAATAGAAATAGAATGGAATAGATTAGAATTAGAATAGAATACAGAATAGAAAAGAAAATAATATAGAATAGAATAGAATATAGAATAGAATTAGAAAATAATACAGAATAGAATAGAATTAGAATAGAAAATAATACAATATAGAAAATAGAATAGAATTAGATTAGAAATGTATACAGAATAGAATAGAATTAGAATAGAATAGAATTAGAATAGAAAAGAATACAGAATAGAATAGAAAATAGAATAAAATAAAATAAAATAGAATACAGAATTGGAAGGGACCCTGGAGGTCTTCTAGTCCAACCCCCTGCTCTGTCATGATGTGCTCTATAGGTGATCCTTGCTCCTTGGATTGCACCCAGAGGCTGTTCAGTAAATGGCACAGCTGAGGAAGCAGTAACGATGCGTGGGCATAATGAGAAGCAGCGATTACTTCCCACGTTGCTGCATTTTGAACCTGCTGTAGCTTCTCGATAGTCTTCAAGGGCAGCCCCATGTAGAGTGCATTGCCGTAGTCCCACCCTGAGGCAACCAGGGCATGAGTTACTTTCTGAAGGGCCTCCCAGTCAAGGAAAATGCGCAACTCACATATGCAAGGGACCTGAGCAGAGTGGTTTGCTGTTAGCCTGGAGGAGAAACGGAGTGTAGCTTGAACTAAAGACCTCAATGTCATTTGTCCACTTCAGTTGCTTCTGCCCTGGAGCTCCGGGTGGCCCCGCCAGGAGACCAAACCCCCACAGAACCCCAGGGGAGGAAGAGCCTCCGCCTCCGCCAGGCTCGGAACAAAAGGGAGCTCATGGAAGAGACGAGACAAAACGCTTCCGAGGAGCCGGTGGTCCACTCTGACGTCCATCGCCAGCATTTCCGAGACTTTTGCTACCAGGAGCTGGAAGGCCCCCGCCACGCTTGCTGCCGGTTGTGGGATCTCTGCCATCAGTGGCTGAAGCCTGGAAAACATACCAAGTTGCAGATGCTGGAATTGGTCATCCTGGAGCAGTTCCAGGCCATCCTGCCCCAGAAGGTTCAGGAGTATGTCCAGGAACGGGAGCCATCCAATTGCGAACAGGCCGTAAACCTGGCCGAGGAGTTCATAAAGAGCCAGCAAAGAGAAGAGGTGGGCACATATTAGATTTTTTTTACAACCCCCGGTATGTCCAAATATGGGAGGAAGATCACTACTTCCATTCTCTGTCCTTCAGCTCGTCACAAGAGACCATCCANGGTCTCTGGGAGGTAAATGGCAGGAGGCGGTCTCTCAGGTAGGAAACCCTGTTCAGGTAGGAAACCCTCTAGTTCAGACAGTAGCAATCAAATTCTGTATTATTTCAAGAGACTGTATGGCTATGACTGAAACCTACAGTGGAGTTTGGGTACCAGATGATGACATTTCCAATATGGGGGTTTCTGGGAAAAGCCCAGGACCTGTACAGGTAGATCTGGAACTGATGATATGACCCAATCAAAGTCAAAATTAGTTTGAAGTGCCAGTATCAAAAGAGGAGGAATGTCCCACTCTTTAGAAAGATGTTCCAAGAAGTAAGGATTTGAATTAAGAAGGATGTAATTCTGTTCCTATTAGAATCAGTAGATATTCAGTGAGTATCTATGTTATTGAGGTTAATGAAGCTAACATAGATACAGGGAGGGAAGATCCTGAGGAGTTCTGTAACAAATGGCAAGTAGTGCTAAATGAAACATCAAAAAACAATATAGCACTCGTTATGGTAATTGGAATAAGAAAAATTAGAGAAACGGAGGAGCCTATAATTACAAGAATACTTGGATTTGATAAATGCAATAATCTAGGACAGAGGCCAATAAGCGTTTTGTGAATACAATTCTTTGTTCATTGCCAACATCTGCTTCAAGTGACAGAAATGCTAACTCTACACTTAGATATCACGGAATAGAAAACCAGAATCATGTGGACTATCGGTTAGGAAATAGAAATACAGGAAACAGAAAATGTGAAAAGGAAATCAAGCCAGCTGTGACAGTTTCAGGGGCAGATTGTGGAACAGACCATGAATTATTAGTGTCAAATATACAGGTTAAATTTAGAAAATTAAAGAGGGTAAAGGCTGCCAGTGAAAATTGAGCTAGAGAACATACAACAAGAAGAATAGAATAAACACATTATACAATAATCTGAAGGGGTAAGGAACTTGAGGATTTACCATAAGAGGTATTACAATACAGTATTTCTGGAGTTAAGATGATGTCACTAAATTTAAAATTTTGAATTAAAAATTCTCAGGGTTTGTGCTTTTTTTAAAAAAAAAAGTAAGGGTAAAAAAGAGTTTCATAGAGTTTAGAGTTTTATTTCATTTGTATGCCGCCCTTTTCCCTAAGGGGACTCAGGGCGGCTCACAACACAAAGAAGGGAAAGGGGGGATACAGACAATTTAACAACAACAAAAAACAATACATAGTTAAAAAACACAACAATCATACCATTCGAAAGGGGGCGACGAATCCTTAGCCCCAGGCCTGTCGGAACAGCCAGGTTTTAAGGGCTATGCGGAAGGACTGGAGGGTGGTGAGGGTACGGATCTCCAC